TTATTGAAACCATGAATACATCATACGAGTAATCAATGAAGGAGGACATAAAGCAAGGGCAGGACTGTCCTGGTTTAGGTTCCATTAACAGAACGCAGAGGGCTTTCCTCCTGCAATCTGTCAGGTTCTCGCTGTGTGGGTGAAATGCGGATTCCTTCACCATCTCTGTCTCGGACCATTTCTGCAGAGGCTTCTTCCTTCCACATTCCTTTTTTGAACTCACATGGGCTCAAGTCACTGCTGGTGGTGCCTGTCATGTGTAAAGCACTCTTCTAAAGGCCACAAAAAGTCCCCAGGTGCCTTTTGGGCTTGCAGCACCCTCTCTTCCATTCTTTGCTCCATCCCCTACTTTGCTGCATGGCGTCAGGGCAGTAGCACTCTGGAGCGTCCTCATTCTAGACCCACTCACCCCACAATAAATAGTGCATGTCTGCAATGAAAAGAACATGAGAAAATAACCCAACCTGTGGTCGGAGCTCAGGGTGCCGAAAGCAGAATCATCCCTGAACTGAAATGCTGCGGCCAAGACTTTACAGAGGACGTGGAGACCAAAGAGTTTAGATCTATTCAGCTTGGCAGGAAGAGGGCTGATGTTTAACACCAAACAGATTGGATTACGTGCAAGAACACCTCGGTGTATGTGAAAGACTGCCCCCAGAAGGGCTCTTTACTCTGAGAGGCTGCAACTCCACCAGCTTAATGCCAGACAAATTGCAATGTGACATATGAAGCTTTGGAGGAAATTTGACTGTCTCTGCTAGTTTGAACCCCCCTAAAAATAACGATTGAAATAGTGGGACCTAAACAGAAGTTGCAGAGGGTATTAAAAAAACAGAATGAGTGGGAAAGGAGCAACACAGACTATCTCAGAGCAGAGGAAATGCCTCATCCTGAAACACTAAAAAGCTTTGATCCAGTCTGCTTAGGGGAAAGAGCACTGATGTTCACAGAGAAGAGACAGGAATAGCAAGTGAATGTCGCGGGGCGGGGGGAAATACTGACTGTCTTTGTCCTGTGGAGAGGAAATTCTGCCAAGGGAAAGCCAGAGACATTGCAAGGTGATGTACAAAGTTTTGAAGGAAATGTGACTCTCTCTCTGATGTGGCAAACCCCCTAGAAATAGAGAAAAATGACAGATGCCTTTGAGTTTCTCTGGCTTGTTGCCTTCTACCATTTCATTCTGTCCATCAAAAGAAGCCTGTTTCCTTTGTTAGTCCTCAGGAAGTCTATTGGGGAGGTCATTGGTGGCTCAGGGCTGGACATTGCCTACGTGCTGCCCACCGCCCTGGGTTGGGAAGAGGGACTGTGCTGAGACATGTCTTGGACAATCTCACAGCTGAAGGGAGGGAAACACTTGACTGTGCATGACAGAAGTTCTGAAAGATGAGGGAGAATGGTTTTAAAAGTGAGTATTACTACAGAACACTACCACAGGCTCTTTTCCTCCAGAAAATATTTCCCTTCCTAGTTTTTTTAATTCCACTTTTCCAGATGGCTCCCAGATTTAGGGAAAACACCATTATTGTGGAGGAAAACCATGCACCTATGGAGATCTCATTCATTCGTTTTTCTAAGAGACCTGTTCCTGTAAAGCCCCTTTGTAGGTCCATCTCAATAGACATCCTCTTCCTCACTGAAGTTGGTGGACACATGGTTTGCAGGTGTCTAAAGTCCAAGGTTTGTGGTCAGCTTCACACAGGTCAGCAAATGAACTTATCAGCTGAGGTTTAGTTCATGGCTGCGTGGATAAATTTTGCCCACAGCAAAGGCAGGCTGATGCAGTTTGAAGTGGGCCACTTGCCTTGCAGGCTTTGTTGATGGGCACCGCGATACCACGTAGATGGGCAGGTGTCCAAGCTCAGTGGTATCTTGATACACAATAAGGACATGGTCTCGAGTTTGCCATCGCCTTATAAACCAAGAGTTTCACTGTGGAATTATTTCAACATCTGTGCTTTTTATTTAGTAAATGGCTCATATGAAGAAGTTGTACCTAAGAAACTACTCTCACCGGAGTGAAAATCTGTTTCCAAGTTTTAAAAAAATTGTGTTTCACTAAAGTTCATGTTTCTAGTCTGACTGTGACTAGAATTTGTTTGTTTAATGTCAGGTTCTTAGCAACCATGATGAGCTATCGCGTCATTCCTGAAAGCTTCTCTGTGAGCAACAGGGGATGTATGGAAAAGGGGTGACGTTTTTTTTGGAAGTGGAAGTTGTTGGCTGAAAATACCCAGTCAGGAAGCAGCTCATCTTAACCTCTTCACTGGAAAACCTTCTGAGAGAATATGTTTTTGCTGATTGCATTTTGAAGAGCCATTTTGACATCCTTGTTCCTTAGGCTGTAAATCATAGGGTTGAGCAGGGGAGTGAGGACCGTATAAGTGACAGAGATCAATGCATCCTGATCCGATGAGTAGCTGGAGCTGGGTCTCAGGTAGATGAAGGAGGCACAGCCATAATGAACAACCACGACTATCAGGTGAGCACTGCAGGTGGAGAAGGCTTTGTGCCGCCCTGCGGCTGAAGGGATCTGCAAGATGGCCAAGACAATGCAGAGGTATGAAATGAGGATCAGCATCAGTGGGATCGTAAGGACGGAGATGCCCAGTGCGAAGATAATGGCCTCGCTGAGGTTTGTGTGAGTCAAGACCACCCGGAGGACAGGGGAGATGTCACAGAAGAAATGGTTGAGTTTCCTGGATGCCTGGAAGGGCAAGCAAAATATCAAGGGGGTAACCACCTGGGCAACTAGCAAACCGCTCAGAGCAGAAGCAACCAGCAGCTGAGCACAGACTCTCCAAGTCATGATGCTGTTGTAGTGCAGGGGGTAGCAGATGGCAACACAGCGGTCATAGCCCATGGCTGCCAGGAGGAAGGAGTGAGAGCACCCCAAGAAAAGGAAGAAGTACATTTGTACAGCACAGCCCAGGAAGGAAATGGTTTTTGTCTCTGCTGTCAAATCTACCAGCATCTTGGGGACAATGGCAAATGTGTAGCAAGTCTCAGAAAATGACAAGACACAAAGGAAAAAGTACATGGGTGTGTGAAGGCTCCGATCAACCCATATGATAATCATTAGAGTGGTATCCATGCTCAGAGTGACCAGGTACAGCAGCAAAAACACGACAAGAAGCAGCTTCTGCAGTTCCGCCAGGCTGGAGAAACCCAGGAAGATGAAGTCTGTGGCCAGGGTTTGGCTGTTGTTCCCCATGGAAACAACACGTTTTCTCCAGATGTCAGGCAGTAAGAAAACCAGCACCTGGGTCACAGAAAGTACAAAGTGGCTCGTTGCTGTGGCAAAGAGAATTTGTTTGAGCATCCCTCACAAAAACCCTTTCCTGGCCTCTGTGTTTGTAGCGTTGGTAGTCCTCCTGGTACAACAATGGTGTTGTGCATTGGCTTGGGATGCGCAAGGGCTGATGGGTGCTGTAGGCAGCTCCTGGCCTTGCCACGGCTCCTGAGATCACACGGGTGGCTCAGGGACATGTGGCTCCTTCTCTCATGTCATCTGGGAAGCTAGGATGACAGTGTGGCTAGAGCTCACCTAGAAAGCACTGTCCCCTTTGGGGAAGTCCCATTTCTGGTCTTCACAATGGAGAAAGTGACATCACCTACCTACGTGGAAGCGCGCTGCAGGCAATCACTGCAAGGGCAGGAAAGTTACAGCCTGGAGATGGAGCGGTGGAGGAGGGTCTGCTGACTTTCTTGGAAGCTGTGGCTTTGGGAAAGTGGCTGAAAGACCTCCCATGACCTGCAAGAGAGGAAACGCCATTTCAGAGCCTCTCACTCATACAAGGACCGTGTTAGCTCTCAGTGACACATGCAGAACGCTGTAAGCTGAAGCGCTGGAGCCACTGGCAATGCTGTGCGGAGTGAGTGGATGGAGAAGAAAAGCAGGTAAAATAGGGTTTGAGCAGCACAGCTAACTCCCACTGCAAACCCACGGCAATCCTTGACCCTGCGTGGGAGTTATTCCAGCACGGGGAGCATGCGGGAACAGCTGCTGGTGCTGCAGTAGTTTCACACAGAATGGCAAGGGTTGGAAGGGACCTCCGGAGATGATCCAGTCCAACCCCCCTGCTAAAGCAGATTCACCTAGAGCAGGGGGCACAGGACTTTATCCAGGCAGGCTTTGAATATCTCCAGAGAAGGAGACTCCACAGCCCCCCTGGGCAGCCTCTGCCAGGGCTCTGTCACCCTCCAAGTCAAGAAGTTCTTCCTCACGTTCAACTGGAACCTCTTCTACTTCAGTTTGTGCCCACTGCCCCTTGTCCTGGCGCTGGGCACCACTGAGAAGAGCCTAGTTCCGTCCTTGTGACATCCACCCTTGAGAGGAGTTCCTCGTCTTTCTTGAACAGGGGAGCCCAGAACTGGACACAGAGCTCCAGGTGGGGTCTCCCCAGGGCAGAGTAGAGGGGGAGGAGAACCTCCCTCGACCTCCTGTTTCCAAGAGGAGACATGTAGGGAAGAGTCTTAGCTCTCCCCAAGAACGAGAGAGCCGTTTTCCCTGGGATAGTGGTGGACACAGATGGCCTGTTTCCTTCCTCACACAAAGGGCAGTGACGCAAAGGGGTCTTGTATGAATCAGACTCAGACCTTCTTCCTTCTGCAAGGGCTGATGCACGCCAGGATGGCAGGGCTGAGTTCGAGGACCTCTCCCTCTCCTCCCCTCTAGTCCCCAGCACTGGAAAATAAGGATGCAGAAAGGAAATCTGTGGAGGCAGGAGAAAAAGGAGCCAGAAACCATACCTGCAATGGCCAGAAGGATATTCAGGTGTGGAGCAAGCTTGCAGTCCTTGTGTACTTGTGGCTGGAGGTGTCACCTGAGCCCCTCTGACAGACCAAGCCCTCCTGGCCCTTTGGGCAGGGGGGACAGCAGCTACCAGCTCTTATGGAGAGGGTGGTGCGTATTCATTAATCCACCCCAGGACTCTACACCTACACCCGGTGAGAGGCATTATTAATTGGTTGCAATGGGCATCGTTAAGAGCTTAAGCACGCCAGAAATACCATTGGCAAGTCCCAGTAATGGATGTATGCTGAACTCAGGACTGAAGGATTTTTCCTAAGCAATGACTAGGATCAATCAGGCACTTTTAGTGATTTCTTCCTTGCAGAGACTGAGCAAAAACCCAGAAATCTCTCTTCCTGTCCTAAGACCATTTCCTGCTGCAGACAAAGTCACCGCCTGCCTTGGACTCAGTGGGCTTGCGGCACCCTCCACTGCTAGCCTTTGCCCACCCTATGGGAAGAGACACTCAGGCTCAGACGGTTTTGGAGGGATTGGTTTTGTGGTTATACCCCAAATCTTATCAAAAATCATAGCATTGTAGAATATCCTGAGTTGCAAGGAACGCACAAGGATCATAGAATCATAGAATCATAGAATGTT